AACAAATCTCAGCTAAAAACCTTCATCTACAAAATCACCATTCTTGCAATTTAGGATCGGGATCCAAATTCCTAGCGCGGATTGCCTTCTCCGACGTCCGCGCGACAAAATTCTCCCATATCCAGTCACACAGAACCATGTTCACTTATCCAGCCACCTATCACAGCGCGGATTGTCCCCTCCGACGTCCGCGCATCAATTTTTCCCATAACCAGCCACGCAGAAACATGTTCATTTATCCAGCCACCTATACCCAAGCCAAGCCAACTCGTCCACAACTCTCTACTCCCGCCTGACCCCCCCCCCGGCCCCCCATATAGCCAAGAGTCCAATTTTTACTAGATTAGGTTACCTCCCATACCTTTACCTTTATTTTTATTATTGCTTAACAGTTATATTAACACACTAGCACATCAGCTTAACTGATCAGTTCCATTTCTTGTCTCTCCCACTAGGTCCTTATGGTAGACTAAGTTTCTCACAGTTTCATACGTAGCCACTAAACTTTCTTATCCCTCTTCACCACCTTTACTGTTTTCCTTTCTTCTTTTCACCTTTAATTTACATTTTTTTGGGCCAGCCGATTATATTCTTATTCCCCAGTATTGTATTATTTATCTTAAAACCCGTCTGGCCCCGACTGCGAAATAGCCGACGGTTGAAGCGGTCGTAAAATCCCTCAAATCTCTCGCTCTCTTATTGAATAGTATGTCTAGGAGATGCGCTCCCATTACCTTAGGCTAGCATCTGTCTAAAGAGCTATAGACTGAAACTACTGATATTTTATATATGCATTTTACCTGATGATACTACGGATATTTTATATATGCATTTTACCTGATGATAAGTATTACTTGCTAAACTATTATATGAAATGATGTATAAATATTACAGCATGGAAACTCGTAACACTTGATGTGGATCTAATTATTATAGGATAACTTAGTATAAATGTTAACCATGATAACTTCCCCTCCATCTGAAAAAGTTTGGACCCCAAACGTGTAAAATAATTATGGCTTAGATGGACAATATTTTAAGTTAAACTGGTAGTATAGTAAATAACAATTATTATAGAGTCTCTTTGGTATAAGGAACATAATGTAAAAGTTCTTTCTGCTGTCATCAGGGAATCTGGATGTGGAGCTGGCTTGTCTGGGCACTCTGTACTGGTGGTTTTATTAGTGATGTAGGAGCCCTTGAGTTCCACATCCTGGTTTGAGGTTTAGGATAGTTGGCTGTGTCCATGGAAGTTTTACATGGAAACAAGGAAAAGAGAGTTAGCATGTTCAAATAATATGTCATATATAAATACTTCCTCAGTTTGTCTGTAATAGCTAGAAAATAAAACAAATATGATAATTATGATGTAAAAGATCAGTACATAATTATTACTAAATGGTGTCATGAACAGGAAGAATGTATTGGCGGCAAATTACAAAAGTATATCATGACATTTTTTTAATAAAATATCCTTCTATTTTTGGATACAATCATTAGACGCATTATATATACATATATGTGCATGTGCATATAACAAGTGCATTGATTTATTACACTAATAAGGTATACAAAAAGTGTTAGAACTTATGTATATCCTTTTTTTTTTAATTAGTTGTTAGTTATCGTAACTATTTGGTTTGCCTATTCTTTGTTTTTGTTCATTTCGGTTGTTAGGTTTGCTATATTTCAATTTGGTTTGTTTCGCTTTGATTTGTTTCGCTTCGATTTTCGTTCGTTCGGTTTCATTTGGTTGGCTATACAGTTTGATTCGCTTCGGTACGGTTTTGGTTCGATTCGAAGTATGGTTTGCTTCGCTTCGGTACGGTTTCGGTTCAATGCGGTACGGTTCGGTTTCATTCGGTTCGCTATACGGTTTGCTTCGCTTCGGGACGGTTTCAGTTCGATTCGCAGTATGGTTTGCTTCGCTTTGAGTCATTTCGATTTGTTTTGGTTCATTTTGGTTTGACTCATTTCGATTCGTTATGGTTCACTTTGTTTTTGAGATTGGTTGATCAGGTCCATGCTCAAAATTTGTTGTGATACATATAACTCAGATGATCAGGCTGATGCTATTTGTTCTCAACTGGTGAAACTGGTTACCCACAGTGAAAAGACTGGACACAATAACAAAAGTTATCAAAATCTCCGTTTATTCAGGAGATTTGGTATTTTGATCAAGAATATGTTCAATTGGCATCTTTTGGTATATATGGCGAGTTGATCCTGGTATGGTCGATGGGGACTACAGTCTGTTAGTGAAATACGGCAGAAAAAGGTGTTGATGTTTCCAAAGTCTTTATCTAGAAAAATAACCCTTTTGGATTTATAAATTGGTGCTTCCTCTGGATCATATGGAGGATTATCTTCTCCACAGGACCACTTATGGAGATCCTTCCAGCTATCATCAAGGTAGCGCTGTATGAGGTGGGGAGGAACACTTTCAAAATAGCATGTGTGGTAATCAGGATAATCTTTATATGAGACCTTGACATAGCAGTCTCCTTGAATAATTTCAATGCCCATAACTCTTTCTATTTTATGATCTACTTTTCGTAGGCGTTTGTGAAAAAAACGGATATGATTTGACATCTAATTCTATGCATGGTTTGGTGTTGTCTTGCTCGACATTTCCTGACATTGTATTCCCTGACAGAACATTGACTGATTTATTGTCTTGTGCTGATTCCTTTTGGTTGAAAAACTTATGATTCTTCAGTGGACAGTTTCGTCGTTTTCCTGACATACTTCTTTTGAGGTGAAATTCTCTCCGAATGGAATCTGGAATGCTGCTGCCATACTCCCATGTGTTTCCCCTTTCTGGATCCTTCCATTTTACTCTGTAGTATGTTTTTCGGATTGAAAACCTGAGGGATATCCTTGGTTTGATTACCTGATGTTGGACTTGGAGGTTGTACCTGGCCGTCGTCAAGTTGTTTTCTGGATTTTGGCTGGTGATGCTTACTATTCACTCCTCTTTTTCCTTTGTTTACCTTTTCATTTTCCTTGGTTGGAGCACTTGGACCTGGTGTGGCATGATTTTCCTTCATAGTTGTCGTGCTGGAACCTGCAGGTTTTGCTGTTGTATTTGGAGCAGGGTTTTTCTTCTTTGTTGGGGTCTTTTGGTTCGAATTCTTGTTGCTGGAAGTACCTGCCTTAGTTTTGGAATTTACCTTGTTGGCTTTCTGTTGTGGAAGTGATTGATCAGTTTCTTGATAAGTTGAGCTTGTCGACTGGGAATTGTTGCTGTCAGGCTGTGAATCATTGACTGGTTCCTCATTGTCATCCATGACTCCTGAATCTATGTTACTGGTGTCGTTGAGGTGTGGTTCTGGAGGATACTGTGGACGATCAGCAGGATCAAAATATGGCTTCAGACGGTTGGCATGGACCAGTGGTTTGTGTATTCTGTCGTCAGAACTTCGGCGTAGTTTGTAGGTATAATTTGGACCTGTGTCAATGATACAATAGCTACCATACCACTTTTTGGTTAATTTGTTGGAAAGGCCTTTTTCAACTTTTTTTATAAAGCCAAACTCTTTGACCTGGGGCGAATTCTGGTACTTTAGCCTTTCGATTATATTGTTCTGAGTACACTTCCTTAGCCCGCGCAGTGTTTCCAGCTGCAATTGTTCTAGTGATGTCAAGCTCCTCTAGCAAATTTGAAAGATAACTTTTGTTATTGTGGCCTAAATTTTCTTTTGGAATTAATGCTACATCTTGTGGAGCTCTCATTTCTCGGCCAAAAAGCATAACATATTGGGATTTTTGTGTTGATGAATTTGGGGCCATCCGATAGGCCATCATGATAACAGGAATAAAATGGGGCCAATCATTTTGAGACTTGTTACAATAGGCTCTTAGTGATTGATTGATGTAAGAATTGAGCCTCTCTACACAGCTGTTAGTTTGAGGATGGTATGGGCTGGTATGGGTAAATTTAATTTGCTTTGATAAGTTTGGACATGAAGTTCTGACCTCTGTCTGAAATTAAGGTCCTTGGAGCGCCATACCGACAAAATATTTCTCTGACGAGAACATCTGCTACTTCTTTGGCTTCTTGGGTCCGAAGTGGAAAGGCTTCACACCATCTGGATGATGCATCTGTGATAACCAAAATGTACTTGTACTTGTCTGGTGTTGTTGGCAGGGGACCGAGAATGTCAACGTGCCATCGGGGGAAGACCTTTCTGTCTTTGTGGAACGAATCTGTATAGGATGTGGTGCAAATGATAAAGAGAAGATAGTGTTCACCACTCGTTATTGGCTGAGTCCTTCGTAACATTAAATATGTTCTGAAGAGTAAAATAAATACACTCTTTAGTGATAATAAAGCAAATAAATCAATTAAAGTTCTTGAAAAGTATTCAAACATTCATAATGTTCACCCAAATCATCCCGAATAAAGGTTACATTTCATTTTGAAACAAGGATTTCTCCTTAAATTTAACTCCCTACAAAATTCACATTTACGGTAAATAAACATTTTCTTTGACTGATATTTACGCAACAAAGAATAGTTATACCATTTAGGTAATATAACAATACTTCTAAACATTACAAATACTTCCAGCATATATTTTGAGCACTCAAAGATGATTGAAAATCGAACAACACGCTCTTTGAAAAATGCAAAATGAATTATCAATAAAGTTGACGTATTTCCAAAACTTGCATTTACGACATGATAATATATTAAACAAAAAACAGTATTTCATACCTGAAGATTAGTGCTCAGCCGCTAACTCTCTGCAACACACAGAAATTCTCACACATTTGACCATCGCGGGTCACTCACGCTCATCGCTGGAGCTCGCAATACACAACAGGGAGTCATCATTATTTTGGAGCACAGTACATATACCAAAACGGCTTGATCAAACCGGCAAACTAAAATATGTCTTTCTTGGCATAAATGAAATTAATTATTAGTTATTTTAGATTCAAATGTCATTTCAACCAAATCCTCCGGGGGCAACCAAGTGCCATCTGAAAACAGTCTATGTGAAATATTCCAGGATCAGACAGCATTTCTGTACTGATCTGTTATATTCACCGTTCTTGGTGCGAACTCTGACATTTCTGATTATACCATCCTTTCCTGGAAATAAATCAACGATTCTTGCCAAGTCCCATTTTCCTCTTGGTGCATTGTTGTCCATGAGCAGAACAATATCTCCTATCTGGAGTTGTCTCCCCTGTGTACGCCACTTGCTCCTACGCATGAGAGTTGGTAGATACTCTCGTAGAAACCTCTTCCAAATCTGTTTCACCAGCATCTGCACATATTCAAACCTTTTATGCAGGTTCTTTGTCTCCTGGAACGGTCCTTGTGGAACATTTATGGAAGCTCTCCCTAACAGGAAGTGATTGGGTGTTAGGGCTTGTGGATCATTAGGATCCTGTGCTGTATAATACAATGGTCTTGCATTCAACAAACCTTTCACTTCTGCAAATGCAGTTGATAACTCATTCCAGCTGAGAATCTGTTGACCGATGATGACCTTAAGAGATCTTTTCACTTGTTTAATCAAACTTTCATAGATTCCACCTTGGTGTGGGCTCAAAGGCGTGATGAACTTCCAATTAATTCTGTGCAGCAATGCAAAGTCCATCATTTGTTGTTTGCCTTCTATGAATATGGTACGAAGTTCTCTCTCGGTTCCAACAAACGATGTGCCATTATCAGAAATAACTGTGTGTGGCCATCCATGATTTGATACAAAACGACGCAATGCTTGTAGAAATGCCTGAGTAGACAATCCATCCACTATCTCTAAGTGAACCGCTCTCACATTCGCGCACGTGAAGATTGCTCCCCATACCTTTTGGGTTTTGTTCCTACCATACTTGATTGACATTGGTCCGAAGAGATCAACTCCTGTTACATGGAATGGTGGTGAGAATGGAAGCAATCTTTCTGGAGGCAAGTCAGCCATCAGAGTGGTATGACCAGGCTGACGTAACTTCCTGCACACAACACAATTTCTCACAATACTCTTGGCTAGGTTCCGCCCACGCACAATCCAAAAATATCTCCTACTCTCGCACAATGTTCTCTCTGGACCAGCATGACCCATTTGCACATGAATATCACACATTATCAATCTGCATACGTGGTGACCTGGAGACAATAGTACTGGATGAATCTGATCATACTGCAGTGGAGAATGTCTGAGTCTACCTCCTACTCGAACAATACCCTTTTCCTCAAAGGGAGCTAGATCACAGAAGTCACTCTTCCAATCATTCATTCCACGTTGGACACACTTGATCCAATACAGTTCAGCTGCTTTCATCTCTTCACAACTCACTGTTATAGCATTATCCCCTAGTTGTGAAACCTTGTGTATCTTGTCCTTGAGTTTCCTGACAAACCTTAGGCAGTATGCTGTAACTCGCAGAAGTCGTTGCCATGATGAAAACTTATCTGCTTCTATGACAGGGTTGATTGGTACACAAGCAGCATTAGCTGGACACTTCCTTTTCTCCTCACTGGATTCAGTAGTTGCTGCATCACATGGCTGGGTTGGCCACTCATTAGCTGGTAACTTCAAGAATTCTGGCCCATTCATCCAGCTACCATTCAATTCCTCCACAGAAACTCCTCTGCTAAGATCATCTGCAGGATTCCAATATGTTGGCACATATCTCCAGTGTGTCCGATTCCACTGAGATTGTATCTCGGCTATGCGGACACCAACAAAGGCTTTGAATGTTATTGATTCTGCTCTGATCCAATGAAGCACAATTTGTGAGTCTGTCCACAATATCACATCTGACAGCTTCTGTCTGATTTCTTTTTTGATTGTTGTGGCCAACCTTGAAGCAATCAATGCCGCCATAAGCTCTAATCTCGGTATTGTTGTCTGATGCAATGGCGCAACTCTAGCCTTTGCCATAATCAACTGTGTTGAAGTCTCATTTTCTGTTGCACATGTGAGATATGCTGCAGCTCCATAGGCTTTCATGCTTGCGTCTGCAAAGACGTGTAGAGTTGTTGTGTTCACGGAATCAGGAGGTCTCAAACAACGTGGAAACTGAACATCTCTCAACCTTTGCAGTTCCAGAAACAGATTCGACCACTGAACATACATTTCTTTAGGTAACTCATCATCCCAATCCAACGATTTCTGACGCCAGATATCCTGCATAGCTACTCTGGCTTTGATAGTGATTGCTAAAGCTAGCCCAAGTGGGTCGTACAACATTGACATTCTGGATAAAACTTGTCTCTTAGTGTATTTCTCTGCAACCAGATTCTTGACTGCAAAACTCAGATTATCAGTATCCGGATTCCATCGAATACCCAAGGTCTTGATTTCTTCACCATCAAGACTGACAGACGAAGACGCTTGTGGTTGATTTTCTCTACTCTGTTCACGAACCAACTGCGAAGAACAAAACCACTTTTTGATCTGAAACTGTCCAGTGGCTAACACAGCATTAATCTCATTGATTTTCTTTTTAGCCTTTCCTGGGGTTTCACACGAATGAATCAGATCGTCCATATACCTGTTGTCTCTCAAAATTGCTGATGCATCAGGATATCTGTCCTCATTCTCTTCAGCAATTCGAAGCATTACATAACTTGCCATGTCTGGAGAGGACTTATCACCGAAAGCCACTCTGAGCAATCTGTACACTGACGGCTCTCTATCCACCTCTAAGTCTCTCCATAGGAATCTGTGTAAATGAGTGTCACTCTCTCTCAACCTGATCTGAAGATACATCTTGGAGATGTCTCCAACTATAGCAACTCTGTCCTCTCGAAACCTCAGAAGAACACCCAGCAAGTTCCCAATGAGACCTGGACCCTTATACAGATATGAGTTGAGGGATACACCATCACACACACATGCCGGATCAAACACAACTCTCAATGGGGTACTGGGCTTGTCCGGTCTATAAACTCCATGGTGTGGAAGATAATAAACTGGGAAACCACTAGTTTTCACATTGGGTTCATCAATCTTTTCTGCCCATTCTTTCTGCTCATACTCATTCACAGCATCACAATACATTTTAGCCTTTTGGTCATTCTTCAGGAGATTCTTCTCAAGAGACACAAGTCTTCTATAGGCTACATAATAGTTGTTTGGAAGTAAGGCAGGGTTCTTCTTCCAAGGAAGACCAATCTCGTATCTGTCCTGAACCTTGCGACACGATTCTTTCATCAGTTTGAGTGCTACTCGATCCTCACTTGAGAGTACTTCAACAGAACATTTACAATTTGGAGCTTGTACCCCCAATGTTTCAAACTGGTAGAATTTGTCAAGATTAAGTTTCTCCACAAAGTTCACTGAGCATATCACTGAACGTTGAGTTTTGTCTGGACCCATAACATACCATCCGAGCTTGCTCTTCTTTCCGATCGGATCAAATGGAAGACCTTGACGAACCTCTTCTTCTGCATGCAAGTGAGAATACTGAACTCCCAAGATGAGATCAATAGGTCCCGCCTTGTGCGACAATTCTATGTTGTTAAGATGTGAGAATGATCTCAACCAGTTTCTATCCAAGGGCTTAACATTCAAAACAGTCTTATCAATCTCATAAGCTTCTACTTCAAATGCCTCACTGCTTTCAAGTGAAGAAATCCAAAATTTCAATCTGCGACTGTTAATGTTCTCAAGTTTCTCACATCCTACAAGTGATAGATCAAGTCTCTCCCTGTTACCCTGGAGACCAAGTGATTTTGCAAATTCTTTGCGAATGATTGTGGTTCCTGCACCTCCATCTATGAGGACATTACCTTCCCTGGTCCTACCATTTGAGGATTTAAACATCACCCTGACCACTGGTAGAATACTATTTGTATCAATGATAGAACTGGCCACCTGTGGGTCAAAATGCAACATCTTGTTGTGTGTACGTGAACATCCGTTGATACCACAGGCCTTCTTGGTCTTACAGTCTCTCGTAATATGGCCTCTGACAAGACAGCCAAAACACAGACGTAGGTCTCGAACCTTCTGAGTCCTCTCTGGAACAGTACAATCTGTGAATGTTGGGCAATCTGAGATTCTATGTTCTTCAGAACAAAGATAACATATGGGCCCCCTCTTCATCTGCTGATGAGAATATAACCCCTTTATCCTTCTGGAATCACTTCTTCTTTCCAAATCCCCAAAGTCTGGGTCGAACTCTGCTTTTACCCGTTTTCTGATAAAATCACTGATATGGCGAATTGACGGCCGTTCACCTCTTTCTCTGATATCTGATGCCTTCACTTTCCATCTATCAATAAGGTACCCTGGCATACGCATTACTATCTGCCGCAAATTATCATTTGCGTTTATATCTGCAAAGGAACCCATCCGTGTTAAAGTTGCTATGCAATTAATCAGATCTAAGGAGAAATCTCGCAGCGCCTCTCGTCCCTGTATTCTGTTCCCCTTAGTCAGCTTGTTCACATATGCTCTTGCAATATAACTTTCCTGGCCGAACTGTTCCTTTAACATTTTTAAGGCAGTAGCGTACATGGTGCCACTAGATCCAAGTCCTGCAATGGCCCTCTCAGCCTCACCAGTCAGATGCATCTTTAATTGTACCAGTCTCATGGCATCTGTTAAATGTGCTTTATCATGGATATGAATTTTGAATCTTTCCATGAAATTCACATATTCCAAAGGATCCCCTGAATATTTAGGAAGAGTGATATTAGGTATGTCCCTACTGGCTTCAATCTTGATCAATGCCTCCGCTAAACTCATGTTCGGGGTGTTGCTTAGACAGTGTTTAGTCTCCTGATACTCCTTCAGTGAAGTTATCCACCCATCAAATACTTCATTTGATCCAGCAAGAGATGTATTGTCATCCTGAGATGCATTATCTTTATAAGATGCACTGTCATCATCTTCAGCAGCTTGAAATGATGTTGAAGGACCACTTTGAACCTTGACAGATTTACCCTTTCCCTTTGACACAGTCTCTGTTTCATGTTCTGTGATGTCAAGTGATGCTAGATAATCCTCTGCTAATTCTTCTATTCCATAGATATCATTGGTTAGATCTGACTCCCATTTATCTAAACCTGCAACTTTTGCCTCTTCTGTATACTCATACAGTTCTCCATGTAATTCACATGCCTTTGTATAATCAGCTCTGAGTTCTTCTAACTCCTTTAAAATTCTTCTTTTTTTCACTATTTTAGTTTGCATGTTGTCTTTAAGTCTATTTATAGTTCTGGTAATTCTCCCTTTAATCACCTTTCTCTTTGCTTTCACAATCTGCATTCTCTCTTTTACATTGGTAACACCTGCACCTTCAGCCACTTGTGAACTTCCATTCCCCAACTGTCCAACTCCATCAAGTTCCCACGCTAATTCATCTGAATCACTCATTTCTTCTCTGTACCAACTCTTCAAATAATCTTCAGAAAGTTTTGGTACAAATGATAAAGAGAAGATAGTGTTCACCACTCGTTATTGGCTGAGTCCTTCGTAACATTAAATATGTTCTGAAGAGTAAAATAAATACACTCTTTAGTGATAATAAAGCAAATAAATCAATTAAAGTTCTTGAAAAGTATTCAAACATTCATAATGTTCACCCAAATCATCCCGAATAAAGGTTACATTTCATTTTGAAACAAGGATTTCTCCTTAAATTTAACTCCCTACAAAATTCACATTTACGGTAAATAAACATTTTCTTTGACTGATATTTACGCAACAAAGAATAGTTATACCATTTAGGTAATATAACAATACTTCTAAACATTACAAATACTTCCAGCATATATTTTGAGCACTCAAAGATGATTGAAAATCGAACAACACGCTCTTTGAAAAATGCAAAATGAATTATCAATAAAGTTGACGTATTTCCAAAACTTGCATTTACGACATGATAATATATTAAACAAAAAACAGTATTTCATACCTGAAGATTAGTGCTCAGCCGCTAACTCTCTGCAACACACAGAAATTCTCACACATTTGAACATCGCGGGTCACTCACGCTCATCGCTGGAGCTCGCAATACACAACAGGGAGTCATCATTATTTTGGAGCACAGTACATATACCAAAACGGCTTGATCAAACCGGCAAACTAAAATATGTCTTTCTTGGCATAAATGAAATTAATTATTAGTTATTTTAGATTCAAATGTCATTTCAACCAGGATGCCTTCATCAATTTCAAAAGTATTGGCTTCGATAAGAATCTTTTGACGATCCTTTTCATTTTGTGGAAGGACATCATCCTCTTTGTAGTCAAAGATTTGGATGAAATCTGGACAAATCCTTTGTAGGTGACGTAAATTTGGATGTTCTTTTATACTTACTTCAACCAATGTGTCTTGAGTAACATCAGCATTTGTAGCATGTAATGCTGCAACAACATTAACTGGTACTGACTGATAATCCTCTTCATATTCAAAGGTGACTGACCAATGTGCTGTCTGTGTGTCTGATTCTAAGTGATTGACAATAGGTGTGCAAATATCCTCAGTCTGAGTTGTCTGTGTGACCTGTGTGGATGAATGGGTGTTTGGCAAGATTGTGGTACTGCTAGTTGATTTGCTTTGCTGAGTTGAAGTTACTGAGAAGACTGTTTTCTCAGCATCTTCTTCTGTCTGATCATTACAGTTAATATTTTCCTCATATTCCCTACGTGAGAGAGCATCAGCATTCCCATTGGCTTTGCCGCTGGGGTGAACAATGTCAAAAGTGTAGGTAGAAAGTTCAAAAGGCCATCGCCCTAACTTACCTGTGGCATCCTTGATGGATTTCAGCCATTTCAATGCTATATGGTCAGTGTAGACTGTGAATTTGGAATTTGCAAGGTATGGACGAAAGGATCTAATGGCTTCAACTAGAGCTAAGCCTTCCTTTTCTGTAATGCTCCAGTTCTTTTCGCTGCCATGAAGAGCTCTTCCACCAAAAGCTATTGGATTTTCATTATTTTTCTCATCTTTTTTACTCAAAACAAAACCTATGCTCATATCACTGGCATCAGTTGCGAGAAGAAATTCTTTGTCAAAATTTGGATAAGCCAGAACAGGTGTATTACTCATAGCATGTTTGAGTGTGTTGAATGCCTGATCACACTCAAGTGACCATTGGAACTTTGGTTTCTTTCCTACTTCTGCCTCTGAATGCTTCTTTAGCAAGGCATTCAGTGGAAGCGCTATGTGAACATAATTTTTCACATACTTCCTGTAGAAGTTTGTGAGACCTAAGAAGGAGCGAATCTGCTTTTGTGATTTGGGCACTGGAAAGGTTCTAATTGCTTCAATCTTTTTGCCATCAACTTGAACACCTCCACATGATAAAACATGACCCAGAAAGAAACTTAGTCTGTTGCAAAATTGCATTTGGATGGCTTTAGTGTTAATTTTGACTGTTTCAGATAGTAAAATACTTGCTCCAAATGTTGAAGATGCTCTTCAAAGTTTTTGCTGTAAATTATCAAATCATCAATGTAAATCAGTGCAACCTTAAAAAGCAATTTTCTTAGCACTTTGCTCATGAGCTGTTGAAAACAATGTGGAGAATTTGTCAAACCTTGGGGCAAACGTTTGAATTGATAAAGGCCTTGATGGGTGACGAAAGCAGTTTTATGCTTTGAATCTTCATGTAATGTCACTTGGAAGAAGCCATTAGCAAGATCTAAAGTTGAGAAGATCTTAGCTTGGGCATTGGCGATGTGATCAACAACATCATCAAAAACAGGAAGAGGCCATGACATTGGTAAAGTGACAGAATTCAACTTTCTGTAGTCACAAACAAATCTATATGAGCCATCACGTTTCTTGACTAGGATAATGGGAGCTGAATACATAGAAGTAGACTCCTCGATCAAATCATACTTCAGAAAATCATCTATAAGTTCTTCAGTGACTTTTTGGAGATGAGGAGATTGGCAATATGGTCTACACTTAACCGGTGGGTGGTCGCCAGTGTCAATGATATGTTGGTGCATGTCAGTCTTTCCTAAATCTGCAAGCTTGTCTCTGTTTTGTCCCAAAAATCTAAGTAGTCTGTGTCGTTGGTCTGGAGTCAGTTGTGTATTCGTCAAATCAAATCCTAATTCTTGTGCAATTTTAACATAATCCCTGGTGTTATTGTCTCTCTTCTCATTGTCAGTGTTAACAGTACTTAAGAATGGTTGGTCAGAGTCGATTTCAAAAACAGAGTCTTTGTCAGTGTAACTAAATTTGCCTACAACTGTACCCTTGTCAAGAACCTTTTCTTCTTGGGAGGGATTCATAAGCCTAAATGTAGCAGTTTTGCCTTTCACTTTGGAAAGAGTTCTACCACCTGCTACTTCAGAATGAGCAGTGAGGGAAGCAACGGGTTCAATGAGGATGAGGGAATCCTCTTTGACCTCTGATAGTCTAACCTTGAAATGAATTTCACTCTGAGGGGGGATGTAAATCTGATCTATTGTTTTTGCTAACCCACTAATCTCTTGCACTGAATTGGCTATGAAATTAATATATTGCCTATCTGAGGTGCTGTTGTTAAGTATCAAGGAATGACAGCTATAATCTAAGACTGCATCATTGTCATCAAGGAAGTTCTCACCTAGTATCACTGCCTCTGGTAGTGTAGGCAGAACATGGAATCTTTGAGAAAATTCCTGATCCTCAATGACAAAATCTAACACAACTGAACCTAACACTTTATGCAATTCGCCGCCAACACCTTTAACCTGTGGAAAGGGTGAGTTTCCAAGAGTAAGGTTTTCAAAAGCTGTGCTAAGAAGAGCAGACGAAATACAACAAATGGATGCCCCTGTATCTACTAAACAATTTGTTGTTTTTGTGCCAAATTTTGCCTGAAGTACACTTTTGGCAAGGGGCGTAACTAAAGACACTGTTGGAATTTCACTTTCAAAGTTACTTTCCATACCAGACTCCATATTTGCCATGACACCTATTAGTATGTACCGTACTAAATTAAAGAAAGACAAGTATTCAACAATGTAATGCTCTACTTACAATATTTGAAGACTTTTTCTTCCTTTGTTGGTGTCTTTGGAGGAGTTGGTTGTCTTTAATCCAGTGTTGAGGTCAGAGGTAGATGCAGCTTGCTTGTTATTCCATCAGATGATCACGGTTGGACATGTCCTCCAATGGGTTCTTGTAGCTGGTTGTAGTTAGTTCCTGGGCTCCGTGGTTCATAAAACGATGATTCTCCGCCAAATTATCATGGAACTGTTCTGGGTGAACAATACCTTCCAAATGGCGTGCCGGTTTTCTTGGGGAATTAGTCAGCAAAGAGCCGGAGTCACAGGAGACTAATCACAATTTTTATTTACAAGAACAATTAACAATGAACAATGAACAATTACTTAGAAAATAGCTGAGGGTGCCACAGAGAGTCGGTACAACCCTCTGGGCTGTGGGAGAGAGGTCTGCTTGGTAAGAGAGTCAAACCCCTTCTCTCCTAAACCCTTACTTACTTACTTACTTTGGAGATTTAACGTGCGCTTTCCGACTGATGCGTATTTCGCACACGGGCCCGGCCAGGCCATTTAATGTGTTTCCGAAAGGGGCGAAAGTGGTCTGTGCAACCCAAGAGGGGGGTTTTAGGGGTTGCTTATATAGAATTTGGGAATTTTGAGATTTGGAATAGATGCCGATGGGATTGGGGAGGAGAACTAAGGGAGCCGGGTATGGTGGATGTTTGTTTGTTTGTTTATGTGATTTTGATTTGGTAGGTTATTGTGTTTTTAGATGCGTTTTATTAGTTCCGTTTTTATTAAGAATACGCCTAAGGCCTTGAAGTTTTCTAGTTTATTTTGTGGGTTTAGTATTGCTTCTAGAGTTAGAGCCTTGTTTAGATTGAGGGTGGTTTGTAATGCGGTTCGATGTGTTAGGTAGTGTGTGCAGTGGATGAGTGCGTGTTCTGGGGTTTCTGGTTGTTTGCAGTGTGGGCAGTTACCTGTAGTGTGTTTTTTAAATTTTTTTAGGTGGTTATTTAGGTTGGTGTGTCCTGTTTGGAGTTTAGTGATTACTCTGTCGATTTTTTTGGATGGATGGAGAATTTTTGGTTTGGTTAGTGGTTTGCTGAGCACTTTTTTGATTTGGCTATTTGAGTTTAGATATAGGTTATGCCATTTTTTTGTGATTTTTTGTTTGTTTACACTTTTAATTTCTGATTTTGAGATGGGTAAGTTTAAGCTTATTTCTGGGATTTTGAGGGATAGTTTAGCTGCTTTATCGGCGTTTTCATTACCGTATATTCCTACGTGGGCGGGTATCCACAAGAAGGTTAAAACTTCCTACAGTATGTATTTAACAAAAATTTGAACAATAAAAAGGAATAGGATTGGTTGATACACGATTGGGTGTGCCCTATGCTAAATGGATGGCTAGACAGAGGGGAATACTTAATCCTGTTAATCCTGTTGGACTGGCACTAATCTTGTTGACATATTTACTGGATGCTTTGAAAGAGATTATGGTGTCACTATAGATGAGCTTGTGTTGGGGCTAATCCTTAATGCACTGTAGACGAGCTTGTATGGGGGCTAATCCTTAATGCACTATAGACGAGCTTGTACGGGGGCTAATCCTTAATGAGTCTTAATTGGAGTAATTGCTGAATGTTATTCTAATATACCCCGGTAGGTGATGACAGATATACTTAAATAAAATAGTTCAAGGTAATCTATAAGACTATGTAGACATATCCTTTGTCTGGGAGATAAGATATTGATACCTTAGGCTAGCATTTATCTAAAAGCTTCAAATCAATTAAACTATGTAGACGTAACTCTTGTTTTATTGAATAGTATGTCTAGGAGATGCGCTCCCATTACCTTAGGCTAGCATCTGTCTAAAAAGCTATAGACTGAAACTACTGATATTTTATATATGCATTTTACCTGATGATACTACGGATATTTTATATATGCATTTTACCTGATGATAAGTATTATTTGCTAAACTATTATATGAAATGATGTATAAATATTATACCATGGTAACTCGTAACACTTGATGTGGATCTAATTATTATAGGATAACTTAGTATAAATGTTAACCATGATACACTGGGGATACAAACTAACAATGAGCCACTGGATACATTCTAACAGTGAGACACTGCATACATACTGACAGTGAGACACTGGATGCATACTAACAGTGAGACACTGGATACATACTGACAGTGAGACACTGGATACATACTGACAGTGAGACACTGGATACATACTGACAGTGAGACACTGGGCATACATACTGACAGTGAGACACTGGATACATACTGACACTGAGACACTGGGGATAGATACAAACACTGAGACACTGGATACATACTGACAGTGAGACACTGGATACATACTGACACTGAGACACTGGATGCATACTAACAGTGAGACACTGGATACATACTGACACTGAGACACTGGATGCATACTAACAGTGAGACACTGGATGCATACTAACACTGAGACACTGGATGCATACTAACAGTGAGACACTGGATACATACTGACAGTGAGACACTGGATGCATACTAACAGTGAGACACTGGATGCATACTAACAGTGAGACACTGGATACATACTGACAGTGAGACACTGGATGCATACTAACAGTGAGACACTGGATGCATACTAACAGTGAGACACTGGATACATACTGACAGTGAGACACTGGATACATACTGACAGTGAGACACTGGATACATACTGCAGTGAGACACTGGATGCATACTAACAGTGAGACACTGGATACATACTGACAGTGAGACACTGGATGCATACTAACAGTGAGACACTGGATGCATACTAACAGTGAGACACTGGATGCATACTGACAGTGAGACACTGGATACATACTGACAGTGAGACACTGGGCATACATACTGACAGTGAGACACTGGATACATACTGACAGTGAGACACTGGATACATACTGACAGTGAGACACTGGATACATACTAACAGTGAGACACTGGATACATACTGACAGTGAGGCACTGGATACATACTGACAGTGAGACACTGGATACATACTGACAGTGAGACACTGGAAACATACTGACAGTGAGACACTGGATACATACTGACAGTGAGACACTGGATACATACTGACAGTGAGACACTGGATACATACTAACAGTGAGACACTGGATACATACTGACAGTGAGGCACTGGATACATACTGACAGTGAGACACTGGATACATACTGACAGTGAGATACTGGATGCATACTGACAGTGAGACACTGGATACATACTGACAGTGAGACACTGGATACATACTAACAGTGAGACACTGGGCATACATACTGACAGTGAGACACTGGGCATACATACTGACAGTGAGACACTGGATACATACTGACACTGAGACACTGGATACATACTGACAGTGAGACACTGGATACATACTGACAGTGAGACACTGGGCATACATACTGACAGTGAGACACTGGATACATACTGACAGTGAGACACTGGATACATACTGACAGTGAGACACTGGATACATACTGACAGTGAGACACTGGATACATACTGACACTGAGACACTGGATACATACTGACACTGAGACACTGGGGATACATACTGATGTTATGTCTTCTCAATATACCACAGTATATATAGTTTGAAGATAGTAGGTTTATTGTGTTCAAGTGTTTCAAGTTTGACATTGCCAAGTTTCTTGAAACAGGTATCAGATATGGCAGTGACATCCGCACCACAATCTATCTTGAACTTCATCAAGGTGTCATTCACTTGAATGTTTGTCACCCATGGGCCTTCATCAATATTTCTTGATGTATCACTCAGCTGTCCAATGAAAAATTCGTCTTCATCAGAGTCGAAGTCTAGCACACATTCATCTACTTTTCTGCCACTAAGACAAACAGAACTATAATGTCCCTTTTTGTTACATTTGTGACAAATAGACTCGCGTGCAGGACAATCTTGCCATTTGTGTGCAGGTTTCGCTCCGCATCGTTGACAATATGGTCTTCTTGACTTTGCTGAACTGTGTTTTCCATTCTTGGAAGCATGACTGGCCTTTGAAGAATTATTCTTTGATGATTGTCTGTGTGGTTTTGTCGGTCTTCTAGACTTGACTGCATCCATTGCTGCCGCACTTGTGTCAGTCTTACGAAGTTGAGATTGTTGATTCTTAATCATTTCTCGTTGTCTTGCCATCTGTACAGCTTTGACTAGTGTCAGTTCATTATCTGCTTGCATTTTGGTACTTAATGCACTGTCTCTAATTCCTACGACAATTTTGTCCCTTATTAGATCATCGTGTAGTGTACCGTAGTCACAATGACGAGCTAAAACGTACAATGCATTGATGAACGAGTCCACAGTCTCACCATCTTCTTGTATACGTCTGTTAAATACAGCTCTCTCATATATCACATTATGAGAAATTACAAAGTGTCTCTGAAACTTATCAATCACTGTTTGATATGACTTCATTTCTTCATCTGTCAAATTCAGAGATGACAGGATATCCTCTGCTTCATCTCCCATATGGTAAATGAGTGAATTGATTTGAACTTCATCTGCTTCTTTAGTCAAAAGAGATGACTGTCTGAATCGTTCAAAACGACGTGACCATTTTGGCCAAGATTCTGGTTTTGTGAAGTCAAACTGTTCAGGTGGGTTCACCCTGTATGCTGACTGTGGTAATAACTGAGGTAACTGTGGTTGCTCTTCGTTATTTGCCATTTTATCACACCAGATGAAAATTTCCAACACTTCACAAAAAGCACATGGACTTCAATTAGACCTTCAGTTTTCGCTCACTAACAAGTTCATCAAGTAAAATCTTCTTTTTGACTATTGTAGTTGCTAACCTGGTTAATAATATCCTGATCCCACTTCTGACACCATGTTATGTCTTCTCAATATACCACAGTATATATAGTTTGAAGATAGTAGGTTTATTGTGCTGAGTGTTGAGTATACAGCCTCCACATGGTCAATGATCTAAGGGGAGCTCACTCTCACCTCTCTTCAGTCATGCATAACAGAGTTAGTAATGTTTAGGCGGTAGAGCACCTAATCATAGTCATATATAATATAGATAACCCTACATCCCCCTTTCTAGGAAAGATAATTGCAAAACTTTAAGCAACTGAAATAAAGTAAACATTAATGCATTCTACATGTTCTAGTTACAGACAGCTATATGCCTAACACATTTAAATGCATTTAAACACAAATATGCAATAACGATTGCAAATAAATGATCATACTTTCTTAAGTGAAATTAACACATTTGACACTTCGAAGCATATGTATTATGCATAACATTATATTGAAAATAAAGCCTTAACACTTAGTCAATGTTACTAGATCATTCTAGTTAAACAGTACTCTTCTTAAGTGTTTTCTAAAATAGAACATTATAACGATCATTGCTATAACTTCAAAATTACTGATACAACATCGCTGTTGAATGCTATTCAAATACAATGAAAAATGCATTTCAAAGATCAAGTCTTTTTGGTGGTTTTGAATGTCTACCACTTTTGGTTTGCACACATGATGGACTGAGAGGATTAACTTTAACTGGAGACTTAGAGTTAGTATTGTCTTGTGACCACAGACTTGCACTTCTAGGACTGCTGTTGACAGTTGGTTGGATCACTTTGCCACTTGTATCCTCTGTTCCAGGAATTAACTTGAGATCACATCTATTGCGACACCTCCCCCTTTGGGGTTGACACAATATATGACCGCGGGGTGTCGGCTTTACCGACCACTTTCGACTCGGACTGATTTACCCAAACACAATCACCATGTTTGAGCTCAGACATTGGTCGCACATTATGATGATGATCATACTGATCTTTCATTACTAGTTTTTTCACAGATTCAGTTTGCTTGAATCTTTTCACATCCACATGTTTGGATTGTAGTTGTGTAGGATGACATGGCAAGCTTGTTCTCAGCTTTCTTCCCATTAGAAGCTCACTTGGAGATAATCCACCAGATACAGGTGTTGACCTGTATTCCAACATTGCAAGATATGGATCATCAGCTTTACGCAACATATTCTTGCATGACTGAACAGCTCGCTCAGCCTCTCCATTGCTTCTTGGATACAACGGGCTGGATGTGATGTGAGTAAAGTTGTACTGTTGAGCAAACTCAAAGAAGTCCTGTGAAGAATATTGAGGTCCATTATCTGAGATAACTACCTCTGGTATCCCATGTCTAGAGAATACAGATTTCAAACTGTTGATGATACTCTTTAATGTTGTAGAAGACAGCTTGATGACTTCTATGTACCTTGAGAAGTAGTCAATGACCAGTATGTACATTGCTTTGTTGAGTTCAAACAGGTCTGTACCTACTCTCTGCCAAGGTCGATCAGGAATTGGTGTTGGTAGGAGAGGTTGAGTTGGATTTCTCCTGTACTTTGAACAGATTTTGCAGTGTTCAACAACAGATCTGATTTCTGCACTCAGTCCTGGCCACCATACAGCTGTCATTGCCCTCTCTCGACACTTAGGGATTCCATGATGTCCCGCATGAATCTTCTCGAGCATTTGAGATCGAAGAGTCAGAGGTATCACCAGTCTATTGCCTTTTAACAACAGATCATTCACCATAGACAAATCATGTCTCACTTTGTATAGCTGCTTCTCCTCTGTTGACAGGGAATGTTGGGCAGGCCACTTGTTCTGTAGGAATGTGGATATTCTGCCATACACTTTCTCTTGTTCTGAGGCTATTTCTGTTAACTTCGCATCAGAAGCTGGTAGTTGTGACACTACTAGATCAACAAAGAGATCAGTCTCTTGTTCAAAGAGTTTGTCTTCAGCTAGGAGGATTTCATCCACCGGTGATCTTGACAGTGTATCTGCAATTGCCAGATTTTTGCCAGGTGTGTGGAACACAGAATAACTATATCGCATTAACCTCATTCTGAATCGTTGCAATCTTGGAGACAGATCACTGAGACATTTGGATCCAAGTATGGAAACAAGAGGTTTATGGTCAGTCTCTATTTGGAAGTGTTTTCCAAGCACATAATCGTTGAACCGTTCTGTTGCCCAGGTAATCGCCAGAGCTTCTTTTTCGATCTGTGCGTATCTTTGCTCTGTATCACTTAGAGACCTGGATGCCAAGATTACTGGTTTCCATGATCCATCAGATTGTTTCTGTTTCAGCTCAGCTCCAATACCATATGATGATGCATCTGCTGATACAATCGTTTCTCTTGCTGAGTCATACAACGCCAGAGTTGGTGCGTCACCTATTTGACGTTTGACTTCATCAAATGAGGCTTGTTGTACATCACTCCATAGGAATGTACTGTCTTTATGTAGCAACTCTCTCAGGGGTTTGGTACCTTCAGCAAGTTTGTCAGAGAACTTTGACATCTGGTTCACCATACCGAGAAATCTTCTCAGCTCAGTTTTGTCTGTAGGAGGTTTCATGTTGACAAGGGCTTTGACTTTATCCGGGTCAGGTTGAACACCATTCTCACTGATGACATGTCCAACAAACTTCAGTTTAGTCTTGTTGAACTCGCACTTGTCCCTGTTGAGTGTGACACAATTATCTGCTAGGCGTTTGAGTACTCTCATGAGACGCTTATCATGCTCCTCTTGAGTCGAGCCATAGATGAGTATGTCGTCCACCAGGCAGATTACACCAGGAAGATCTTTCAGGATTTGAGACATTGTTCGTTGAAATATCTCGGGTGCACTCGAGATTCCAAATGGCATCCTTTTGAACCGATATCGGCCAAATGGAGTTATGAAAGTTGTTAACTTGGATGCTTTGTCTGACAACTTCAGCTGGTAAAAGCCTGAATTAGCATCTAAGCAAGTAAAGTACTTAGCACCTTTAATCTGACCGAGAATATGATCAACTGCAGGCATAGTGTAAATTTCTCTCTTCACACTATTGTTGAGCTGTCTCAGATCAACACAGATTCTCACTCCTGTCTTCCCCTTCGGAACGACGACAATACCTGAACACCAGTCAGTTGGATGCGTAACTGGTTCATTGACTTGCAGATCCTGCATTTTCTCAAGCTCTTTCTTGACCTTTTCAAGGAGTGGTATGGGTACACGTCTTGGTGTGTTTAGAGAACAGGGAACAGCATTATCAGTTAGTTCTATGTCATGTTCACCCGGAATTTCACCCAGACCTTTGAACAATGATGGAAAGTCTCTCTCCACATCATCGATTGTGATTGAGTCAACAAACTTGATCAATTCAAGGGCTGTTAAGGCTGGTCTCCCCAGTAGACTTCTGTCAAGGTTTCTCATAACATAGATGTCTTGTGATGTTACCTTGCTGCCTTTGGTTAGCTTCGGGGTAAACACCCCTATGACATCGAGTTTTATTTTAGCTGGGCCAAGTAATTTCTTCTTGGTCTTTTCAAGTTTGACATTGCCAAGTTTCTTGAAACAGGTATCAGATATGGCAGTGACATCCGCACCACAATCTATCTTGAACTTCATCAAGGTGTCATTCACTTGAATGTTTGTCACCCATGGGCCCTCATCAATATTTCTTGATGTATCACTCAGCTGTCCAATGAAAAATTCGTCTTCATCAGAGTCGAAGTCTAGCACACATTCATCTACTTTTCTGCCACTAAGACAAACAGAACTATAATGTCCCTTTTTGTTACATTTGTGACAAATAGACTCGCGTGCAGGACAATCTTGCCATTTGTGTGCAGGTTTCGCTCCGCATCGTTGACAATATGGTCTTCTTGACTTTGCTGAACTGTGTTTTCCATTCTTGGAAGCATGACTGGCCTTTGAAGAATTATTCTTTGATGATTGTCTGTGTGGTTTTGTCGGTCTTCTAGACTTGACTGCATCCATTGCTGCTGCACTTGTGTCAGTCTTACGAAGTTGAGATTGTTGATTCTTAATCATTTCTCGTTGTCTTGCCATCTGTACAGCTTTGACTAGTGTCAGTTCATTATCTGCTTGCATTTTGGTACTTAATGCACTGTCTCTAATTCCTACGACAATTTTGTCCCTTATTAGATCATCGTGTAGTGTACCGTAGTCACAATGACGAGCTAAAACGTACAATGCATTGATGAACGAGTCCACAGTCTCACCATCTTCTTGTATACGTCTGTTAAATACAGCTCTCTCATATATCACATTATGAGAAATTACAAAGTGTCTCTGAAACTTATCAATCACTGTTTGATATGACTTCATTTCTTCATCTGTCAAATTCAGAGATGACAGGATATCCTCTGCTTCATCTCCCATATGGTAAATGAGTGAATTGATTTGAACTTCATCTGCTTCTTTAGTCAAAAGAGATGACTGTCTGAATCGTTCAAAACGACGTGACCATTTTGGCCAAGATTCTGGTTTTGTGAAGTCAAACTGTTCAGGTGGGTTCACCCTGTATGCTGACTGTGGTAATAACTGAGGTAACTGTGGTTGCTCTTCGTTATTTGCCATTTTATCACACCAGATGAAAATTTCCAACACTTCACAAAAAGCACATGGACTTCAATTAGACCTTCAGTTTTCGCTCACTAACAAGTTCATCAAGTAAAATCTTCTTTTTGACTATTGTAGTTGCTAACCTGGTTAATAATATCCTGATCCCACTTCTGACACCATGTTATGTCTTCTCAATATACCACAGTATATATAGTTTGAAGATAGTAGGTTTATTGTGCTGAGTGTTGAGTATACAGCCTCCACATGGTCAATGATCTAAGGGGAGCTCACTCTCACCTCTCTTCAGTCATGCATAACAGAGTTAGTAATGTTTAGGCGGTAGAGCACCTAATCATAGTCATATATAATATAGATAACCCTACAACTGACAGCGAGACACTGGATACATACTGACAGTGAGACACTGGATACATACTGACAGTGAGACACTGGGCATACATACTGACAGTGAGACACTGGGCATACATACTGACAGTGAGACACTGGATACATACTGACAGTGAGACACTGGATACATACTGACAGTGAGACACTGGGCATACATACTGACAGTGAGACACTGGGCATACATACTGACAGTGAGACACTGGATACATACTGACACTGAGACACTGGATACATACTGAAAGTGAGATACTGGATACATACTGACAGTGAGACACTGGGCATACATACTGACAGTGAGACACTGGATACATACTGACAGTGAGACACTGGATACATACTGACAGTGAGACACTGGTGATACATACTGACAGTGAGACACTGGATACATACTGACAGTGAGACACTGGATACATACTGACAGTGAGACACTGGGCATACATACTGACAGTGAGACACTGGGCATACATACTAACAGTGAGACACTGGATACATACTAACAGTGAGACACTGGATGCATACTAACAGTGAGACACTGGGCATACATACTGACAGTGAGACACTGGATACATACTAACAGTGAGACATATCACTTGGATGGAAGAGATCTTCCAAATACCTTCAGTCTAGAAGCCATGCTGACATTTAGGTACTGTAAATAAGCTTGACTTTTCCAGAATCGAATATCTTGGATTATCTCACCGGGTAGGCATGTACTAAAGGCCCACGATGCACCACCATGTCTAAATGAATGCCCTGTAAGTACAACATTTGAACCACATAAATCTGTCATGAGCTAATGCACATAGATTATTGTCACACAACAGCGTCCCAACACAACAGCTGTCCCTCGATGTTAGGGAGAAGCACCTGCAGAAATCTCTCCCTAAACTGTAGAGGTTTTTGTCCATTTTAAGTCTATCACAAATGCTCCAACGCACAGGGAGACATCTTCAACACACATGTGCTTGCTGGCATCAAACACACTTTTACACAAAAAGTTGCTGGATCTAAACATACCGAAAAATCCTGTTAAACATGCAGTGTAGATGGACACACCCAATAAACTTGTCATGTTCAGCTTAGAACGAATCATCAATAAGTGATGGGGAGTAATGGGTGCTGCACACTTTTGAGCATCACCTAGCTCTCTTCGTACACCCCTGAGCAGGTTCTGCACATGCCAGTTATCCTTCAACGGATCATCAAGATCATTCATTTTGTGAATATTAGACACAATGCACAAATATTGTCTCACAGTACTGTACTTAAAATGCTTTGTATCAACCATGTATGCCACAAAACAAGAAAGACACTCATTTGTAGCTGGGACTGGGTTGAACTTTGTCTTCTCACAGAACTCCAATTAACACTTAAGGTGGCTTCCATACGTCCCTTTTGTTGAGTCTGCCCAGACCTTGCTTGCCAGACGATTTGCTGCCTCCTTCAGGTTTCTCTTTAGGGAATCCACTACCCAATCTGTAAGAAATGAATTTATCAGACATATGCCAATAAACTCTCTAAACAGACAACTGCAAATGCGGTAACATCTCACAGACTTTAGATAATTGTCCAGACTCATGTATTCTAGAAATAGAATCTGCTAGAATGTTACACTTGCCAGGCACATGGATAGCTTTCAACACAAAGTTCTACAAAGTACTACGCTTGGAGTCAACACAAATAGCGCAAATACTGCATCACAAAAGGAGACCTAGATGTCCCTTTATTAATCACAGCTTTCGTCGTCATATTGTCTGTCTTAACAATGACAATTTTATTCTGCCATGCAAAACACCATCAAACAGCTGCAATAACAACCGCTAGAACTTCCTTGGAATTAACGTGCTGGTTTATGGCTGTAGGCATGTCAAATTCCCAGTTGACATACACAAAGTCTCCATTATATGCAGCACCTGCACCCACAGGACATGCATCTGTTTCAACTGTCTGGATTGGTGCAGAATGGAATGTATCAAGAAGTGTTCCACCACCATATATCTTTCTTGAACTCACTATCTAATACAGCTTTATCTCCAGATGACACAAGTTGGTTTTACAAATCTATCACATGTCTTTAAAAAGTCCTTCCTCCCTGAACAACCATAGAATCCCAGTTATGTTTTCCTATGAGGCTCTCTAGTTGTTTTTTGCTGGACCTTTTCCTGTTTTTTAAATCTTGCGGTAATTCATGGAAATGTTGAAACTTATCATTTGGCAAGGAGAGTGTACAACCTTCTGTGTCAACGAGTATACCCAGAAACACCATCTTCTGGCTTGACCAATAAACATTGAATCCAAGAAAACGCAAAACTTGCAAAAGCTGACGCAAGGCCAAAGCACATGACTCAGCTGTATCACACACGATCAAAAAATCATCTAAATATGCCAGCACTGTCACTCCATACCGCTTCAACATAATTCTGCATACAGCGCTGCTCAAACACTGAAATGTTTTCAGATTTTTTGATGCCCCAAACGTCAACTTGGAATCATACATGTATGTGATGTCTGCCTTGCTTTCAAAAAGCCATGCTAAACCAGTAAGTTGGAAATTGCTTGGGTGTATCCTTACAGAGCGATAAGCATTTTTCAAATCCACTTTAGCTAAGTAACTACCTCTATGTGTTTCATTGCATGTCTAAGGTCCATATTGCTAGTTTCACATGAACTCATAAAACTGTTCATTCCACCAACAGACAGCAAACTTCCATCGTGAATATGTCACACTTTTGTAGAAGATTTCGGGATAGCTCCTAAAGCACTAACAATAGTTGTTCTGCTATTAGTAACAATGTAGTTTCCAAGTTCAATTCTTCAGTAATCTGAGCTTCTGTTTCTTGTCAGTGGTGAAAGGCGGACCTGTGATTTTTTGTATTCTGATGCTCAATAGTCACATTGTCAATATCCGCCAATTTAAACCCATTATGAACCCCTTCTAGAATGAAGTCCCTATCCCAATCTTCCGCTGGTAATAAAGGTTCCCAAGCCACAGGATTTAGCGAATTGCATGAATGCGTTCGTTTTTTTTTTATTCAGTCCTAGTTGCCGTAGACTGAGTACGATCGTCAGCTTGAACTGGAGGTGACTTTGTCCTCGCCTGGAACAGGTAAAGCAAACATGTGCCATTTTACAGTTTTCTAGGGAGCAGAAACCTTGGTTGTAGCGCTTGCAGATTTCCAAACCATCTGGTGTAAATGGTCCCCTAGTGTGTTGACCTTGCGGTGCAATTTTTTTTAACGGGCTGTCTTCCATCTGTTTTATCACTCACGCTGTCTGCGACGTCTGTTTTGGGATGAGCCGAAATTCCCTGATGTCCTGGGAAGGTGTTTCCCATCGGACACCTTCTTCATTCAAAATCCTCTATCATACAACAGAACCCTGACCCATATGTACTTTGATGAATAACGGCAAACGTCTTGCAGATATTTCAGGTAGTCAAGGATTTCTTGTGAATTCATATCTCCTGACTTGATCCCATCCATTAACAGTCCCATGTTTGTGTATGCCCACATTTCAGTGGTAACTTTGGATAGATTAGGCAGTTTACGTCCCAAATCGATGCTTATGTAGCCGGGTGGTGGTGCCAACTCTGAATGAGTTATAGCCACATAAGTACCACAGACTTTCAAAAACCCTAGTATTCATTCTATACATATATACATTTTCATCTATTATCACCATCACTTCATTCTGTATTCATTATATGTTGTCCTTGTCTGCAGTTGAATGTCAGCCAACTAACATCAACCCTGATACCCTTATGCAGCCTCTGTGATTTCTCCAGCTTAACCTGGACTTCCCCTATCTATTTTTAGATATGTCCACCACTTCATGTCACTGTGAAGCATCTTGACTTCCTTTAATACCTGTCAGATGCTACCTTTCTTCTGATTGGCCCTTTGGTCCACATCTTTAAACTTCCTTTCTCACCTGCCCGCCTCGTGCATTCTGCATGAACTCTTTATGGAGGGAGGACTCTTCTTTCCAGGTGAGAAACATTTCAATATTCTTATCTCTTTCCATCCTGCTTTGGAAACAAATATATTCATAGGAAGGGTATCACAGCTTTTCATTAAAGTAAAATATATTTAATTGCATTATTATTTAATTTGTTATAATCTAAATATTTGCCAGTTCACACATTTTGTGTTACATTATTTGAGCACATGGTCTTCAACCATGTGCTTCAACCATGTGCTACCCCACTTATCCATATAAATTAATCTTTTCCTTTTCGGCTTAAATTAAATTATAACAATTCTGCATGAACTCTTTATGGAGGGAGGACTCTTCTTTACAGCTTCCCTCCCACCATCTGCTACACAGAAATAAATATCATCATCATCCAAGAACTGCCTCATGTTTTGACTAGCAGCCCAGTGGCTGGACAACAACATACCACACCCGGCTACAAAATGGCGCCCAACATGGGGCTGCTAGTCTCATCAGCATCATCACTTGTACAGTGAGAAGAGGCAGTTCATCATTCATCAGATGGCAATTCAATATTCAAGAGTACGTGCAGTTTCCAAGGACATCTTGTATACTTTGTGGATGAATAGTTCATTCATTCATCATACTTTTTTCGTGAAGTGTAACTTGTGATTTTTGTGTTTCACAAATTCAGGACATATACATTTGACTTTTGAGCCTGAATATCAAGACATTATTTGTGATCCACATTGAATATTTCTCTTTATGTGTGATATATATTTCTAATTTCAATATCACATTGCAATATCATCCTGTGATATATATTATATGTTTATCATGTTTACATTTGTTTGAAATTTATAATCATATTGATTTCTACACAGTATTGATTATAGTACAAATTCTATTTGTACCACATTTCTATGTCTACAGTGTTTATTTAAACTATATATATAGTAAAGATTCATTTTCATCTCACTGTCAAGTTTATTCCGAAAAATTAATTGGAGTTCATATCTATTCAAAATTTCACCACTGATCAAAATTTCAGGTCAATTTTAAGTGTAGCTGGTAATTATTTGACTTTGATTCCAAATTTATATTTCAAAATTATTTAACATTTAACTTAAACAGTTCTATTTCAAAATCCAAAGTTTGTTTTTTTACTTGATATAATTTCTGTCAATACTTTTGATATTTGCATTGATACCCTTCTTACTTTACCTGTGCCAGACTCTATCCTCAGTACTTCTTTTTCCATGCTGTTCCTGCTGTCTTTCCTTCCGTGTGGACATATTTCTCTTCAGCAAACCACTAACATGTTTACCATAAGTATTTTGTCTTGTCTTGTGTTGTTTCTTCATTTGATCATATACCATATCCAATTATAGGCTTCATCACTATCATCAGTCATACCAGATCTTCTGTTTGCAATATATGAACACCATCAGTGATTATGTCCTCAGTATCTCCCTCAATTGCATATCTATTATCTCAAGTAACAGTATATCTGTGATGTGAGATATTTGTATAGTTTCCCCTCATATGTAAGTTACATATGTGACAGTGGAGTTCAGACAGTACCTACTGTTACATTTACTTTCTGTATGTACAACTCAGTTGTTGCTGCATCTTGACTTATTTCCAGTGGTTGTCTGGTCTGTAGTACTTGCAGTTACTGCTTGTATCTGGGATGACTTTGTAGTCATTGCCAGGTTAGTCTCACCCAGTAGCCTTTGCTACCTGGATGATTTAATTTCCATTGGCATTATCTGGCTAGTGTTTCATTTTACCTGACCTCAGTACATTAGTTGTCCTTCAGGTGACCACATCCTGATTGTTGTGTTCGGCTACTTGCATTGCTATTGAACATTGCTGCTTACCTGGGGTAGTGGTTAGTTCCCCTCAGTTGTAAGTCTACCCATATCACACCATAGTCCATCTTGTATCCTTGCTTTTGTCGGAGCCCTGCACTTGGTTTCCTAATACTTAGGAGTTTTTGCACTTTGCGATCGCCTCGGTTCATAATATTGTTGTTGGGTCCCAACGTATAGGATCCTTGTTGCCTTTTTGGAAGTTCGTCATACTTGTTTTATCATACACATTATGGCTCAATCAGACAGTGATGTTAGATCACAGGTTGATCAGGTTGTGGATTTCATTCATCAGCTTGATCCCTTAGTCCGTACTAGCATACTCACCCGTCTAGCAGATGACGCTAATCAACATCCACCTCAGACCACTTATGTAGCTGATGTTGGGTCTGGAGATACGTTGTTTCGGCTGCATGTGCTTCCACCTCCTGTGGATAGCCAAAGGGTTGTTGCCCCACCATATACACCTGGGCTATCATCACTGCTAACACATTCACCTCTGGGGTCTCCTTTGTTGCCTGATGTATGGTCACCCATGGAGCCTTCCCAGCGGACAATACCCCCACAAGACCCTAGTCCTAGGATAGAATTGCTGAAATCTTTGCCTAGGCCCTACAGGTCACTCTTCAGCTATAACCAACCCCAGGGTTTATCAATCCCTTACTCACAGCAGTCGCGTGTGATTACACGTCCGACTTGGGCACCAAATGAGGTCATGCCCATTCTATACCCTGGGTACACTCCAACTGCTCAGCCTAGTCAGTTCCTGGCAACTCCGCATCCCACCATGCCCATATCACACACCTCCTACATGACAATAATCAATGCACCAAGTCCCCGGTTGTCAACATTTTCAGGGGATAGGGCAAAGGGTGATGTGAAATATAGTCAGTGGCGCCTTGAAATATTGGGGTGTCGACGTGAAAATGCTCACTCTGACACCGCCATATTCAATGCCATGCGCAGAGCAGCCAAGGGTTGCGGAGGCAACCATTGATTCTGCTTTAGAGCAGTTGGACATTGTATTTGGCAATGTGATGCCTGGTGAGACGTTCATGGAGCGCTTTTACACAGCTAGCCAGGAAATAAATGAGTCTGCTGCAGCTTGGAGTTGTAGACATCGTGACTTGATCTCAAAGATCAAAGTCTCAGGAATGCTCCCACCAAATGCTGCCATGACCTTGCTTTGAAGCTGTTTCTGGATCGGGTTATCCCAGGATGCTTTGAAGCAGGCAACTCGTCATCACTTTGACTCTGGTCTCGAGTACAGCCAACTGCTGCTTTCTGTACATCGGGTGCAGGAGGAACTGCTTACCCCTAAGGAGGCACATCAGTGTCCCGTTACCACTCCTGTACCATGTGGTCGGGTGATGGAGGATGTGCTCTCTAGGCCTAAAGACCTTGATAAGAGTCTAAAGTCTATCGGGGACAAAGTTCCTCAAGCCTCCTCTTACAAACCACCCACCAGGAGTAAAGGCCAAGCTCCCTTCAAAGGTGCCCAGACAAATAAACCTTTAGTAAAGCATGTCGGTGATAAACCCCCTCCACAACAATCATCAGTTTTCTGTTTTGATTGTGGAAGGCCAGGGCTCAAAAGGGATCACCAGCATTGCCCTGCTTTAAACTTCTAAGAGTCCCAGTTATGGAGCGGTCTGGGGACTCTAACCAAAGCTCTCAACGAAAGGTGCCTTCCAATTTAGTTGGGCACCCAAACATTGCGCATGTGAAGGTAGAGGAGCATGTCTGTGAAGTTTTGATAGATACTGGTTCAATGGTCACCACTATCTCTGAAAGCTTCTACAGAGCCTACCTCCCTCACTTGCCACTCAACCAAATCAGTTCATTACTAGAGGTGCATGGAGCTTGGGGAGCCAAGCTACCCTATTTGGGGTATGTTGAGGCTACTATAGCTATACCCCCTGACTTCATGGGTCAAGTAGTGGAGGTACCCGCACTCATTCTTGTGGTGCCCACTACCGACTTCACCTCTAAGGTACCTCTTATCCTGGGGACCAATGTCCTGCGTGCTGCTTGTGAAAGCAACCCTGGTGACAGGGTATCTGGGAGTTCTTCACCTTGTGTGGGACGGTAATTATGACACAAGGTTGAGTTATGTCAATTCATGTTTATTTCCATCTCAACGTAGACAATAAGGAAAAACCTACAACATACAAATATCACAGGCTCATTAGGTTACAATCACTGAGCAACAGAGTGAAAATATATTTCTATGTAATGTTACAACAGCATACTATACACCTTCACTTGATGTTTGACATTGTAGAAAAGCACAAGTTCATTGATTGTATTTGAACATTAGGATGGACGGAATTGTAGATATAAATTGACAATTACTATTTAAAATGAGACCGAAGGAATAATGCACACATAAGTTTTGTGGAAATATTGCAATTAATGAAAATGACAATGAAATTTTGTTACAGTTGGTCTTACAATACATATGACTGCAAAGAAAAGATATTTCTAGTTTACAGCATAATGAAGAAAAGCACCAACACAAGCTCGACAAAGTCAGTTTGCAACAATGCAATTACAAAATCGTAGATCGATATGGATAAACAATATTCATGACATATCAATGATCTCACCCCCAGGTGACCCATTCGATAGTTGGGACTATCGGTCCGAAGTCACATCAGTCACCACTGAAGTTGATTTGCCTAACAATAATAATGACATAAATACAGTACAAGAAAACGATATTCAGTTTGGCACAAATGGTACAATGGCACATCAATAACGATGACTAAATTCGTCATAATAAAACAATCCTGAGAATTAAAACGTAAATATTATGCATTGCCAGCCATGGCTAAACCTGAGTATGTTTACATTTCCTATCATGGCCGGCGCAACACAATGCGTTGGCAAAGGGACGTAACTCATGTGGGCTAACACGCACTCGAGTGAAACAAAGGACTGCGCTTATGGCGCGAAATACCATTCACTGACAGCGATGCAGAAAACACATTTCATACTCTATATACTTGAAATGTGCATAAAAGACAAACATAAAAGGAATAAGTATACATGGTTCTACTTAAGAATGAAATTATAAAGCGGTGCCCATTCATGATTTGCCATACTTCATCAGATATTGCGAAGTTACCACTACGGACCAATGTACTTTGGTCGGCCGTTGAACACACGCATTACGCTATTTCTATCTCTATAATTTTAAGAACATGTGAAAAGACTAATATATCAATGCAATGTTTCTCAAAGTCAAAATACTCAATATATATCAGCTCAGGGGGTGTACTTACGGTTGGTTATTGGGAAGAAAAGTAAATGCACGAGAGCGATTGTCGTCTGCTGCCTGCTTCGCTAGAGGCTTGGTGCATGTGCCGTATCTCGTGACGTATGTTGCAAAGATAGTTTACAATAAGACATTATTTTATTATAGAAAGAGAAATTGACTTAACATGGAATTATAATTACGAGAAAGTTAAGTGAAAATTACGAAATATAGTAAGGAAATGTATAATCTGAAAGTTGCAAACTTCCGGAATTCAACGAAGATCAACGAAGTTTACATAGCTAATTTGGTCACTTCAAACTCTCTTCACACTCCCCTGCTGAATTAGTTGGCTCAGACAACTAACTATATGCCAACGTTACAAAACTAAAATTGGAAAAATATCTAACTATTACAAAAACAGTTTCAAGCAACATGTTATAACAAACAAACAACTCTGTTACAACATCTCAAAATAATTACAGTGTTCAACTGCACTTGCATAAGCTATGCAAGGCATAACCCATAGGACTTGTTTCTGCATTCTTAAAGCGAGAATATATCTCTAAATTGGAACTGCACACTGAGAACCCATAAACACTGTCTTTCACGGTGAAACAACTTCTACTCTATCTGGTAATTGTAACTAAAACAGTCATGGTCACATCGAGTCTCTTGGCAAGACAGAGGCTGCCAACAACTGAGCTAATAGTAGTTGTGTCCTACTCATATCTGCGATAACGTTTGGGTCTACATGTGGCGTTGTCTGTGGAGTAACCTGTATTTCATTAACCACAGAACGAGGCAGGTTGAAGGGGTTAGGGTTCTGTCCAGCAGTGGAACGTGTTGACCGTCTAACAGAGGTTTCCATAGTTTCCGGGCTTGATACAGGCCCAGGTTCCTTTGCATTGCTGGCATCAGGACTGGAAGCTTCTGGTATATCTTCAGTCAGGTCTGATATTTCTCGACCAGTTGCTTCTAAGTCTGTCGGTGTGTCACTTGAGGTCACACCAGTTGGTTCAATGACTTGTGCCTGTCTGCTGATGGTGCTTTGCTCCCCTGCTGTGGATGTGCCACTCGTCTGTCTGGTGAAGTCATTCCTTCCCATGAGATCTTCTGGAGGGTCATAGACATAGAAGGTACATGACGCTGGTAACCCATCTTCTTCTGAGCAATCAATAGGTGTGCATAGTTCTTCCACCTCTTCTTCAGCTCTTTCTACTATGGATGCAGGTGCCAAGTCTTCTACTAATGTCTTGGAATCCAAGATCTCCCTGCGATGGACAGGTTTTTCTTTTTCGCCATTTAGGGACTTTACAAGATAGATGCTGGGCTCTCTCCTTCCAATAACCTTGTAGGGTTCTGCGTTCCACACATCCTAAATTTTGTGTCGGCCGTGAAAGTGGTTTCTCAGGAAAACTCTGGCTCCAATTGGTATTTCTCAGTCTACTGCATTTTTGTTAAGTGTTTTTAGTCTCTTTAACGCTTCTTCTTCTGTCCTTTTACTGGCCTGTTGATATGCGACCTGAAGGCGTTCATGGTGTTCCGTGATTCACTCAGTTTTTGATGTTTCTTCGGTTTGATTGCCAAGGACAAGATCCAGGGGCAGTTTTGGATCTCTACCAAAGAAGGGGTAATATGGCGTGTAACCAGTTGTGGCGTGTGGAGTGCTGTTGTAGGCACATGTGAGTTCTGGAAGCAGTTCGGGCCATTTCAACTTCTGTTTGGGTTGCAGTGTCCGAAGCATGTTGTGGAGGGTACGGTTGAATCATTCACACTGAGCATTTCCTTCTGGGTGGTACGGGGTTGTCTTTGTCTTTTTGATGCCATAGGTGCGACAGAGTTCATGGACAATTCTGCTCTCAAAACATCTGCCTTGGTCACTGTGCAGACGGTCGGGGACTCCTAATTTGATAAACCATTCTCTCACCAGTATCTTGGCCACGGACTTCGCTGATTGGTGTCTGGTTGGAAACGCTTGGGTGAACTTGGTGAAGACATCAGTTAGAACAAGGATATCTTTGTAACCGTTTGTTCCTTTTTCCAATACCGTGAAAACCATGGCAAGTATTTCCAACGGTCTCTTTGCAATTATTGAGCCAAAAGTTGGTCTAACGTTGGGTCTAACGTTTTCCTAGCATGCATCGTTCGCATTTGTTGCAGTAGTTTTCGACTTCTCTAGCCATGTAAGGCCAATAGCATCTGGTTCGGAGAATAGAGTAAGTCCGTTCTGGGCTCTGGTGTCCATTTTCATCGTGACTAGATTTTAATACTCGGGTCAGGAGGGTCTTTGGAACTATGATTTGATTGATGGTCTTGTTGTTCTCGAAGGATCGTCAATACAGCACTCCGTTCAGCATAACCATCTGCTTCCAGCATTTCAAGAGTTTCCTTGCATCTGGACCTTCTTTCCTCATCATTCGCAAACTTGGCTGTGAACTTTGATCCCAGAAGTGAAGGAATCTTGAAATGACTGAATCTTCTCGCTGTAATTTCCTCATTTCATCAGCTGACACAGATGGTATGTGGGTACTTGGAAGGGGTTCGTCCTGTGCATGAATGGCTTCCACACGTACAACTTGTCTGTCCTCTTTCATTTGAAGCTTAAGGTCTGATGGTAATACAGTTGTAGTGGGTATCTTATGCTCTGACATAACGACAACAACTTCCTCAAGCCTTGTGGATTCTGTTCCATGTTTGACTTTCTGGCTGAGTGAATCAGCATTCTTGTTCTTCTTCCCAGACCGGTGACGGATTGTCAAATTGAACTGTGCCAGCTCACCAATCCATCTTGTCTCTGTGGCACCAAGCTTTGCCGAAGTTTGAATGTAACTCAGTGGGTCGTTATCTGTGTTAACAGTACACTGAGCACCCAGCAAGAAATCCCTATACTTCTCCGTAACAGCCCATTTCAGTGCGACCAGTTCCAGTTTCATGCTACTGTAATTGGTCATATTCTTCTCAGCGGGTCGTAGTGACCGACAAGCGTAACTCAGCACAACCTTCCCTGCCTCTTGGTCCTGTGAGAGCACAGCCCCAAGACCATTGTGACTGGCGTCGACCTCCAGGATATATGGTCTTGAGAAATCGGGGATGTCCAAGGACAGGGGCCGTTGTCAATTTCTGCTTCAGCTCCTCAAAGGCCTTATCACACGAGCTGTCCCAAGCTGAAATACCTTGGCCGTTGCTAAGTTTACGTTTGCCTTTCTTCTTGAGGGGTATCCCATGTAAAAGAGAGTGTAGGGGTGCTGCAATACTGGCAAAGGATGGAACGAACTTCCTATAGTACCCAGCTAAACCTAAGAATCCTCGTAGTTCTGTCTCTGTCTTGGGGACTGGCCATTCCATCACTGCCTCGATCTTCCCTTGTTCTGGTGAGATACCTTTCTCTGAAATATGGTGCCCAAGATAACGGAGTTTCTCCTTAAACAGCTGACACTTCTCTGGCTTTGCTTTTAAGTTGAATTTCGAAAGTCTTGTTAAGACCATGTCCAATCTTTCTAAAGTTTCTCCAAAGGTGGTGCCAAAAATAAGTATGTCGTCCAAGTAGATAAGTAGGGTTTGGAAGTTTTCGTCGCCAAAGATTTTGTCCATAAGTCTCATGAAGGTTCCAGGAGCTCCAGTTAGTCCAAACGGCATTCTTAAGTACTCGTACAATCCACCAGTACCAGTTCTAAAGGCGGTCTTTTCTATGTATTCTTCGGCAACAGCAATCTGGTTAAATCCATGTGCAAGGTCAAGACTACAAAAGTATTTGGCACCTTTAAGAACGTTAAGGGCTTCATCAATTCGTGGAAGAGGGTAGGCGTCTTTCCCAATTTTTCGAGTTCAAAGCGCGATAGTCACAACAAACTCTCTTCACACTTGGACCATGGCTATTCAGTGGCTCAGTAGGCGTTGGAATGACCTGAACGGAACTGAGAATGTGCTGACAACTAAATCTATAACCATACCCACGTCTTGCAACGAGATTATAACAGGTATTTGCAGGGGTAGTGCTCCACAGATCGGTATGGAGTTTTGTGCCACACAGTCCGTTCTTCCTGGTTCACTTACCCTCGTTACTGGTGTTGTTGGGTTTCAGTCTACCCACTCAACAACACGGGTCAAGGTTGAGGTCGCTAACCCGTCCACCAAGGCTGTTACAATTCCAGCCAAAACAGTACTTTGTCATTTGAAACAAGTTGCTGTGTTGGACGGCTTATCCCCTGAGGATGGCGTCAGCAATACTGGCTCTGTACCTACCAAACTACCAAAAGAGCTGGACTCTCTGTACCTACCAAACTACCAAAAGAACTGGACTCTCTGGGTGATAATCACACTCCAGATGAAATAACTCAATTGCGCTCTCTACTGAATGAGTTTGACGATGTGTTTAGCAAGTCTGATATGGACATGGGGCAAAATACTTCACTTGTCTTGACCTTAAGAGTGGATATTGGCAAGTCGAAGTGGATGAGGAGCAGAAGGCCTATACTGCCTTAACTGTTGGCCCACTTGGGTTTTACGAGTGTAATTCTATGCCCTTTGGACCGACAAATGCTCCTGCTACTTTCCAACGCCTGATGGAGAGGTGTATGGGCGACATTCATCTTCTCCAATGCCTCATTTATCTCTGTGACATCATTGTGTTTTCTAAGACCTTTGATGAGCATCTTGAGAGATTACGAGCAATCTTTCAAAGATTGCGCAAGAACGGGCTCAAGCTAAAGCCGTCAAAATGCCAATTCTTGCAGACCTCCGTTAAGTACCTAGGTCACGTAATCTCTGAGGAGGGTATCAAAACAGACCCTGAGAAGATTGAAGTATTGAAGACCTGGCCAATTCCACGTAATGTCGAAGATGTTCGTCGTTTTCTTGGATTCTCCGTCTACTTTAGACGTTTTGTTCCAGACTACGCTAAAGTTGCCAAACCACTAACCAGTTCACTTGCTGGTCATGGCGGGAGATCCAAGCGTAAGATCAAGTCCAACCAACCATTTGTATGGGGGGATTCTCAACAGTCAGCTTTCAGTGAGGCTTTTGCTGATTTCACTCTGCCCTTTGAATTGCACATCGATGCAAGTGGGGATGGCCTGGGTGCAGTACTGTACCAGTCCCAAGACAATCAAAGGCAAGTGATTGCCTATGCAAGTCGCAGTCTCCGCAATTACCCTGCTCATAAGTTAGAGTTTATGGCTCTAAAATGGGCTGTCACCAAGAAGTTTCATGACTACTTGTATGGCAACTCATTCACTGTAAAGACTGACAATAATCCCCTCACTTATGTCCTAACTTCCGCTAAGTTGGATGCAACTGGGCATCGCTGGCTCGCAGAACCTGCTACTTATGACTTCTCCCTTGAGTATGTTCCCGGTGCAAGGAATGATGCAGATGCTTTGTCCAGGTTGCTGCGTGAGTCCATGGACATTCAAAGTGTGTCTGCTCTCTGTAATGGGCAACTTATCTCATCATGCGCCGTGGAGACACTCTCCCTCAATAAGGAGGTGATGAACTGTATGTTGGCGGTCGATGGTATGGAACCTTCTGACGTTGTCGCTAGCCAATGGATGAGAACATATCAGAAAGCTGATTCCCCAATCTGTTCGATTTTGGACCTCATCCGTAATGATACGCGTCCAACCAAGGAGGCTCTCAAATCCACGGACCAGGACACTGCATCCATTCTCAGGCAGTGGGACTCACTCACTGTCAAAGATGGCCTTCTCCACAGTCAACAACTTACTGATGGTGTAGCACCCTACTATCAATTGATTGTTCCTCAGTCTAAAAGAGATGAGGTCATTACCAGGGCTAGAAATGCAATTTTTGCCAAGTGTGCCACAAGGCAAAAAGTATAAAATTTAGGTGTGCCTTGGGAAATCATTGGGTGCCCAGCAAATTATTTGTTACATTTCAGCATTAAAAATTTTAACAACCATTAAAGTGTTTGTTGTTTATTTGTGTCTCTCTGTCAGTAGTTCAATCAAAATGTTAATAAATTCATGTAATTGTAAGTAAGTGAGACATCTGTTATCTTAAAAGTAAGTGATTTATTCAAGTTAAAGTGAGTTACAAACTTACTTTACTGACTTCCATTTAATGACTGTGACAGACAAGCCCCCTCAACTCAGTTACTGTCAGATTGTGACACAGAGGGTTTAACCCTAGTCCCATAAGCTGGGGTCCACCTTCTGTTGACTGCACACATCCACTTAGCTATTGCACCCTGTGGACTGTATTTCTCTAGTGTTGTGTTGCACTGGGCAACTGTCATGGGTGTACTTGACTTTAAGCATGATCTCCAGTCTGTCTTTACCCTCCCCATCATTGAAAATCCCCTCTCACATTCTGCAGAAGAGACTGCAAGTACCAGACTAATTTTCAACAATTCCAGGATGTTGCTGTATCGATTGTAAACTCTGTCCTGTTTGATCATTCTTGACCATATGTGCAATACAAGGTATAGCTATAACATGAGGTACATCATGTTTCAGTTTAGCTGCCCCCTTTCTTCCCATCATAACTAGAGCCCGATCTGAAGTAAAATCCACTTACCTATTTGTTTTATTTTCATTGTTTACGTAATTGGAAAATCATTTTAAAAGAATTATAAATAGTTTCTGTCATCACCCATTTCCCAATAACAGCGGCTGTCCATTCAGTAACATGAAGAAATACCCCCGTTTTCGAGGCTGCATATGAATAACACGTTCGTCGAAGAATGGCATATGACACATTGCTGGAAAGCTTATTCCTTCATCTACACGCTTGTAACATCACCTGTTTTTTTTTCGTAGTTGTAACAAGCGATTGCATTGGATTGAAATTGGTTTCTAATGACGCTTTCTTGCCAAAATCTGCTACAAGTTTCGTGATTGGTCAATTTTGAGCACATGACATAAGGCAGCCAATCAAATTACAGCTGTGATACCAAGCTCGTGTTTGATAAATTTCAGAAGTTGGCGAAAGATTTTTGTTAAATCGTGTTATAATGAACGTTTTAAGCAGGAAATCACGATATATACTACACATAAAAATTATGGGAACACCAAAATATTCTGTTATAAAAAGGAACCTGAAGAGCTGGTGCAACTCCATGATTGTCCCTGACACGTCGTCCAAGAACATCCAAAAGATGCTCAATTGGAGCCAAATCCGGTGAATATGCTGGCACTGCATCACAGTCACATTGTTCTGTTGCAGGAAGTCTCTAACGACTCTAGCCCGATGTGGTCTGGCACTGGATCTTGCAGGATTGCTCCTGGACCAATGCTGTTCAACTGTGGTAGGACAAGAGGGCGCAAAATCTCGTTACGATACCTCACTCCATTCAAATTGCCTTGAACAAGATAGAGAGGTGTTCGGTGATGCAAACTGAAGCCTCCCAATACCATCACAGAGCCACCGCCAAACCTGTTTCTTTCTCGTACAGTGGCATCATCATAACGTTCTCCAGGACGTCTCATAATCCTTACCCTTCCATCATTATGCTCAACACAGAAAAGGGACTCGTCAGTGAAGAGAACTCTGGACCATTGTTGATTATCCCATCTCAAATGTGCCCTGGTTCAGGCAAGTCTTGCAGCTCGGTGATGAGGACGAAGATGAGGACGTACAGCTGGACGACGTGACCTTAAAAGAGCAGCTCTGAGGCGGTTCCTGATGGTCGATACTCTCACGTTGGTGTGTGTTGCTTGTCGGGGTTGCAGTCTCAAAGCACTGGCTGTTGAGAACCGGTTCCGAAGGCCTTGCAGCACAACGTATCGGTCATCTGCCCTAGATGTTACTATCAACGCGTGTCGGTCGATGTACACAAAAATGAACGATTTGCACACTCGTATATGCAAGGGGCCGACGTATGGTTCTCAGTAGGAAGTGACAACTTGGAGACGATGGCTTGCGGTATATACAGTTTTACTTTATACATGTAGATATATACATACAAAAGACACTATGCGTCAGGTCAGCACATAGTGGTAGTGGTTGTTGTCTAGGTGCCCCGGAAGCACCCAGCCTAACCCTAGCTAGGCTAAGGGTAAGACCTTTTTTTTCCCTCTCCTCTATCTCTCTGGACCAAGGCTTATATAGCCAAGGTCACCTGACATTTAGTAAGTAATAAATATAAATGTAAACAGTAAATCATCAGTGACATACTTGCACATCCTGTTCAGGATGGCAGACGGTTGATGTACACAAAAATGGGGATTAACAAATAGGATTAGCATCTAATAAATAACAGCAATTAAATGTTTCAAGGCATATAGATGTCATGGCTCCAGGGTAATGAGCCTTTGCAATTAAATGTTCTTTAGACAATGGGTGTCGTAAATCAGTCACCATGGCAACTTCCCTCCCTTACGTGAAGCTTGGACCCCAAGCTTATATGAGTCCAAATTGATATGTGTGAGTTTTTTTCACCAACGAAAACAACCATGCAAATGTGATCAAAATCAGTTATATGAAATCCTTATGCAACAAATATATCTATGCAATGACGGTATGAAAGTGATCATCTAGCCAATTTGAATTAGTGCCAGTTTGAAAACTAACCAAGTGATCTTTGTAATGTGCAATTTCACTACAAGGTAATTACTGCTTTGCACAGATTCAATAAATATATCACTGAAGGTTCTTTGAATTCAGGAGTCTGGCTTGGC